GAATTAGTCAAGATATACTGAATACTCGTAGTGGGTAAGGTGAAGAGTCAGTCTTTAGGGCAGTTTCTAACCTTGTTAGTGGTGGCCCTTATAGTCAGTCCTTGCTCTACTGCGCCTTAGTCTGGCCTTCTTGTCTTAAGTCTGTAGTTCGCCTATAAGCCTTTGTCTTCTACTGTTCGCTTGCAACCTCAGGCTTACTACCATTGCTTTCATTCTCTCTTTTCTCCTTAAGTACCTTTTTTGGATTCCTTAGTGACCCACCTCAAAGCTGTCCTTGCTCAGCTGACTTTTATACTGATACAGATGCCAACAATACTTCACTACAATTAGAACTAGAATCCCGGCTTCAGACTACTTCTCCTTGTATTAACTCTTGCTTGTTGGCTTGATCCCTCTAATTGCCTTCGTTAGCCTGCTCCTTTCTTGGGTGAATTCTATCTAGTTCGGTACCCTATTAGGACTCTTATGCTTATAGCTCTTATACATAGGCAGTATTGCTGCTTACACCTAGGGTGGATTCCCTTGTTTCATTGCCGGTAGTTATACTTGTCTCTCTGACTTTTGTTAGTGATTCTTTCTATATGGATAGAGACTTTGATTCTGATTGGTGTTTTAGGGCCTTGGAAACAGCATGGACTTCCTACTTATGAGTCAAAGCCTTACTTCTGTTAGGGATGTTATTTCATATTTCACTAAGAGGATGTGCCTGAATGAGCACTAAGATAAGAATCAACATTGGACTGACTACCCACACAAACAGCCTAATATGCAGTTTCAAAAGTATAGCTGGGTTTTGAGAAAAAAACAGAAAAGCCATTTGACCGACAAGGCTTTCACTAGAGACTGTGGGAATTGACTACTGCCCAATAAAGGAATGAATTGCTACTAGCAAGAAGCAACCCCATAATAGAGAGTGGAACTGGTGCCTCTCATACTTGCACTCGGGACTTAGGACTTTCTCCACTAAATATAAGATTGAAATCACTGCTAGAGGGAATGAAATAAGGAACCGGGGTCCACCTAAGGGTTTGGGCTACTACCTACAGGAATGGACTACTGCCCTTCCCAACCAACCTCAAAACACTGGATGAAACTCAGTGAACTCAACTAGGAACTAGGACTGACTTCGCTATGGTCTGTATTTGCTCCTTTCACTCTGTAACTAATGCATTGGATCCTGACTTTTGAATTAAAGAATCCACAGAGTACGGCTTTTAAGGCTAGAGCTAGTTACTATTGGAATGGAACCTGGGCATATGGTACTGGCACTACTGAGCCGGATCCTTACTTTGATTTATGAGAGCCTGTCTTTGCTGACTTTTGTTACTTGGCAGGTGGAATCCGAGGACACGAATCTCTTGTATTGATTACGGGAAGCATTAGTATAAGTTTCATCAGTAGTAATATAGGGTTGAAAGGCTACAAAGAAAGGATCCAGTCCAGGTCGGTATTTCTAGTTTTATAGCTAAGAGAGATATACTGCCTAGGGCGTTTGGGAGAACGAGAAACATTCTAGTTAGAATCAAAGTAAGTAAAGGGAGGCTTAGAGGTAAACATAGGATTTCGTTTACAAAGTGGGGCTTGGGGATAGGTTTGGACAACTGGTCTAGGAAGGTAAGGTATGGGCAAGAATCAATACCGGTTAGTTCACTCGGTCTGAAATCAATAAAGCGAGGTGCTAAGAGCCTTCAAATAATATCACTAATTCTGTAAGATACCATCAACCATAGAAGGTATCTCTATACCCCGGTAATTAATAGGTAGGTCGTTGGTGCACAAGAGCTATCAAGTGAAATGAAAAAACAGGTTTTGGATCATCAAATCGAAATAGTACTTGCTGTTTGTTGACCTCCATACTTAATAACTGACTAATCAATATCATATAAGTGAACTGAGTAACTTAAATGAATAATGAAATT